GAGTGGGGCGGGGCAGTGGGAGGGGTGTGGTGGCGGGAAGGGCGGGTCCGCAGGGAGAGGGGCGGGGCTGTGGGAGGGCCGTGACGGCGGGAGGGGCGGGGCGGCCTCAGAACCATGTCCAAGTGAAAGCCCGGAGCTGGATCCTGAGACGCAGGGTAAAGCCAGGCAGCTGGGTGGGCACGCTCTGCTCTGCTTTAGAGGACACTGGGTGGGGGTGCAGGAGGAGTTGGTGCAACGGGTGGGGTACAGTGGTGAGGGAAGTAGACGGGTAAAGACTGCCTTCCACGGCAACAGCAGAAACCCGGCCCTTGGTCCCTCAGCCTGGTGCCCACAGCCCCCGTGAGCCCCGGCCCTGGGCTCTGCAGGTCACCGAAGGGGTGCCCACGTCCTCAGCACGACCTTCTGGCACCCCGACACCAGGGGCCTGCGGCGCTGCCCTCCTCACAGTGGGAGTGGCCCTTTCCCAGGGTCCCTTAGCAGCAGGGACACTGCTCCCAGGGGGATGTCCTCATCCAGGCTCCTCCCCTCACCCTGGGCCATCCCCGCTCACCGTCCCCCTACACCCCGGGCCGTCCCCCCCACCCCGGGCCGTCCCCACTCACGCGGGCCCCTTTATCCATTCACCCACACCCCGGGCCGCCCTCTAACCCGTCCACCCTCCCCCTGGCCTGTGCCCTCGCGCTGCGTCACCTTCGGTCCTCGGCTTGACGAGGTCCAGCATCTGGCAGAGACAGTCCTGGAAGGGCAGGGCCTCGATGGCCATGCTGTCCAGCCTCCGGCACTGCTCCTCGTAGAAGTACTCCAGCTCGAACATGGACAGGGCGCCGTCCCCGTCCAAATCCATGCACCGGAACCAGTACTCGATGCTGCGGCCCAAGAGCTGTGAGCGCCCCACACCCCCGCCCCAGGCCCTCCCGGCACGCCCCTGCAGCCCCAGCCCCGGGCCCTCCCCACCTGCCCGCTGCAGCCCCACCCACAGGCCCTCTCCGCCCGCCCCCTGCAGCCCCACCCACAGGCCCCCTCCGCCCGCCCCCTGCAGCCCCAGCCCCCTGCCTCCGCCCGCCCCCTGCAGCCCCTGCCCCAGGCCCTCCCGGCCCGCCCCCTGCAGCCCTTGCCACGGGCCCTCCCCAGACGCCACCTGCAGCCCCAGCTCCGGGCCCTCCCCCCCCGCCCCCTGCAGCCCCACCCACAGGCCCCCTCCGCCCGCCCCCTGCAGCCCCTGCCCCCTGCAGCCCCACCCACTGGCCCCCTCCGCTCGCCGCCTGCAGCCCCAGGCCCCGCAGCAGGCGTGCACACATCCACTCGCAGACGCATGTCACAGGCCAGGCTCCCAGCTCCTCCACCATTAGAGGAGCACGCTGTGGCGGGGACCCACCTGGTCGGCGTCTTCTTGTCTTCTTCCGAGATGAGAAACCACACGAAGTCGGCGTAGCTGATCTTGCCCTCCTTCTGCACTCTTCTGCCTCTAGATTGGAGACCAGGATGGACAGACGAAGACGTCGTCAGGGAGGGCAGCACAGGCAGGGGGCCCCTGCCCACGTCCCCGGGCGAGAGGAGGCCCCAAGACCCAGCCTTCCTCCTGCTCCTCCAGGGTGGAGGCAGAGGCCACGTGGCCACACGGCTTCCCCCAGGTCCAGGCGGAGTCCCGCCATCACTGCCACGGCCCCGGGTGCCCGCAACGACCCCGTCTCAGGGCTCACGGCGCCCGACAAAAACCCTGGCCTGGGCCATCCCTTTCCTCGGACCTCACGTGACAAAGGTTCTTGTGTCCCCCCGTCCCACGCGAGGGCAATGAGATGGCCCCGAGCCCTCACTCGGCAGTGACCGACGTCAGGAGCCTGAGCCGCACGTACCGCGTGACCGCTCCCGAGAAGATCCTGTCGATCATCTTGGTGGAAATGGCTGCAAAGGAATTGGGGTTGATGAACAGCCCGCACCGGGCCTCGGCCCTGATGCCACGACCCCCAGGGCCGCGCAGACGAATGCCGGGAGGCGGCCTGAGTCTGGGACGGGCCTGGGGCCCCTACGCCCCTGCAGGCTCCTCACGGGTGCCCACCGCACTTTCCCGTCAAGCGGGGCCAGGCCCAGCATCAAACCCACGGTGTGCAAAGCTGACTGCGGCTCAAAGAACAGTTTCTCAAGAGCGGAGCATTCACGCGTGCCTCAAAGGTTCTGCTTGTGGAGGGACAGTTCGATCACAAGAAGAAACACTTTTCAACCGAATGTCACTCACAAGAGGGAAGAGTGAACGCACTGCGGCCGCCAGCCCTGGCGCTTGCTCTGTCCCAAGCCGGCCGTCCCTGAGGTCACCAGGGTCTCCGGGACGCATGGGGCCAAGATGCCCGCAGCTTCAGGCCGCGCCACGTGAGAAACAGCCCAGCCGGCCGCACCCGCCACCCTGCCCCAAGGCCCAGATTGGGCCCCACAGGAACAGAGAGACCGGCGGCCGGCACGCGTTCACAGGGGCACGAGCGCTGGGTTCTGCGCTGACTCCCAGCTGTGCAAGCGTTTGCACGGGCCACGCGGGGCGGCTCTGCGGGGCTGCGCTCCTTTCACAGCTAGTTACGGGGCTCAGGGCTTAGGCGTCTCCCTGAACTGCGTGAGGAACAGATTCGGGAAATGCTACGTCTGCTCAGGTGCGCATCCTACGCCGGCTGAGTGGGGTCCACCAGGACCACATGGCCCAGGGCCAGCCGCGGAGACGCAGGTGGGCGGGGCTCACCCTCGGGGAACCACGCAAAACATGCAGGCGAGCTCAGAAATACTCTTCTTGGTAATAAGGTTTTCTTCAGGGGTGGGGGAGGGAAGGAGACTTATGAAAGCCACACAGGAATACGTCGGTTTTGGCTCCTGGAAGTCTCCGTGAGTCTCTGAGGGCAGCTGGGAGGCCCCGGCTCCCGCTGCTGTATCTGAGCCCCCTCTAAGCCTGCGGCCCCACTTTCAGGAGCCGCCCAGTGGCAGATGGGATGGAAACTGGTCCAGGCCTTGGAGGCTGGAACCTGGAGCCTGTGAGGGAAGGGTCTGCGCGCTCTCTCGGGTCCTAACGATGAAGACCCGCGACGATGGTGTCGCAAACGGGCGGCTGTCGGAGCCTCAGGACCAGCGGACCACACTGACCCCGTAGGCGCCAGCCGCCAGAGGTGTGGTGCAGGGACGCACGCTGGGACCCAGACACAAGCAGTGGCCTGGGGAAGGAGAGGCAGCTGCAGGCCCGCGAGGCCAGTGAGAGAAGGGGCTCGCTGTTTCCATGCTCCTCTCCTCCTCTGCCCTGCGCACTGTGCTGGGCGTCCCCGCGCCCGCCCGCCCCTCGGCCCCACGCACCGTGGTCACTGCGCTCCGTGTCCCCGCGCCCCGCCCGCCGCTCTACCCAACCTGCCCCGTGGTCACTGCGCTCCGTGTCCCCGCGCCCCGCCCGCCGCTCTACCCCACCTGCCCCGTGGTCACTGCGCTCCGTGTCCCCGCGCCCCGCCCGCCGCTCTACCCAACCTGCCCCGTGGTCACTGCGCTCCGTGTCCCCGTGCCCTGCCCGCCGCTCTACCCCACCTGCCCCGTGGTCACTGCGCTCCGTGTCCCCGTGCCCTGCCCGCCACTCTGCCCCACGCACCGTGGTCATTGCGCTCCGTGTCCCCACGCCCCGCCCATCCCTCTGCCCCACGCACCATGGTCATTGCGCTCGGTATCCCCGCGCCCCGCCTGCCGCTCTGCCGCACGCACCGTGGTCATTGTGCCGCGCCAGGTCGTGCGCGTCGATGAGCAGGTCGTGGTCCGTGTCCAGCTCCCAGAACTTGCAGTAAATGACGTAGAAGTGCTCGTAGGAGAAGAACTCGGTCAGCTGGTTGATGTCCGCCTCCTCCTCCAGCAGCGCTACGTTCTGCCAAAGGACACGGTGGGGGGGGCTTGAGCAAGGGGCCTCCGAGGAGACGCCCCAAGGCCGGGTGCCTGAGGGCAGGAAGAAAGCTGGGGCGGAGGGTGGGATCGCTCCGTGGGTGGTGGGGACTGGGCAGCTGTGGTGGGGGGTGCTCCCAGTGGGGGCAATTCCAGGTTGGGGAGCTCCAGCATGGAGGCAGCTTGCTAGGCGGGAGTGGGGGTGTGTAGTCCCAGGTCTACACTGGGACTGGGAGCCCTCCCAGGACCTGGGGAGGCGGAAGGGAGGGGGTAGGAGAGAAAAGGCGGAGGGAAGGGAGAAGACAGAGGGAGG